GTACCTTGGCCCTGCCACCCGCCCCACGGGGCTTGATGGGGGACCTCAGGCTGCACCACTAGCCCCAGCACTGGGCCAGACCTCAGGCCACACCCCCTGCCACAGCACCAGGCCAGGAGATCTCAAATGGGGGACCTCAGGCTGCACCCTTCACCTGGTGGGGCTTGACAAGGGATGTCAGGCTGTGCCCCTCCCTCCCGTGTCCCTCCCTCCCTGGTCACAGGCCCCACTCCAGCGCCAGGGGACCACAGGCCATGCCACCTGCCCAGCAGGGCTTGATTGGGGGGGAGGGGGGAAGACCTCAGGCCGTGCCCCCTGCCTAGCGTGGTTGACTGGGACCTCAGGCTGCATCCCCACCCCAGCGCCAGGACTGAGGGACCTTAGGCTATGTCCCCTGCCTGGTGGGGCTTGACAGGAGACCTCAGGCCACATCCCTTGCTCCGGAGTCAGGCCAGCAGACCTGAGGCTGCACCCCCCCACCCAGCAGGGCTTGACAGAGGACTTGAGACTGTGCGGCCCCACCCCCACCCCTAGACCTGGCCTTGGGCTGGGGGACCTGAAGCTGAACTCCCCACTCAGAGGGACTTGACAGGGGTGGGGCCAGCCGGGTCTGGGTCTCCTGCATTTTCAAAGCACATGTGGGTGGTAGGCAGGAACTTGACTCTAGGTCCCACAGCATGCCTCAGACTCTAACAGGAGGGAGATTTTCATATACATTTTACTAATTTTCTTTCATCTCTGATACTTCTATTATAGAGAAAGGGCAAATAGCAATATTAAAATATTTCCTCTAATTATTTCCCTTTTAATGTGTATGAATTTTATGCACCAGGCCACTAGTAATATATATATATATATATATATTTTAAAGACAGAGTTTTCTGGACCCTTCCATCATGTGAGGATACAGCAAGAAGCCTTCAGTCTGCAACTGAGGCCCTTCACCAGAATTCAAGCATGCTAGCACCTTGGTCTTAGACTTCCAGCCTCCAAAATTATGAGAAATACCTTTCAGTTGTTTATAAGCCACCTAGTCAGTGGTATTTTGTTATAGCAGATAAAAATAAACTAAAATGGGCAATAAAGACCTATACTAGACTATTTCTAATAAATTGCATTTGTTAAAAAAAAAAAAAAAAAAAAAAAAAAAAAACACGTCTCAAGGCAAAGAACTACTAGAAACCAAAATGCAGAGAAATGCATCTAACAAAATAAAAATATAATGCTAAAAAATAAAGAACTGCTGCCATCTTTTTCATAACTAGTCTGTAGTAAAATTTTCAATAAAGCAAAAACTTAGTAAAGAAGACAGTCAACTGGCAGTCAAAGGGATAGGAAAGAATCACACAGTAAGATACTTCTAGGCTAAATGGCCCTTACAATCAAATTGGTCCAAAGATAAAATATTAAGCAGTCAAGATAATGTAATCAAGGAGGTTAAATGTCCCATAATCTGCTCAAGAATAAAGTCATTTGGCTCAGGACTTTATTTTGTTTTTAAATGTTTCTCTGGTCACTTAACAAGCAACCAAGAGGACATGTGAGACTGAAGGGGCATAACTATCACTCTGTATTTCCCCATCCCCAGTCAAATCTACAGCCTTCAACAAGAAGCAACAAATGAAGATCCTGGAGGGTTTAGTGAAGTGAGTTTTGATTCTGGATAAGAAGGAAAAAGTTAGAGTCTAAGCCAAAAAGAACTATTTTCATACTCCAAAACTTAACTCAAGTAAGCTAGCTCCATAACTAATTTTTAACCAGCACTTTTTATTTAAAGCAGGAATTAGCAATACTGGGTCAAATCCATTAGGCTTTTGTAAATAGTTTTCCTAGAGCACACACACACACTCACACTCATTTATTTACGTTGCCTATGCTGCTTTAATACTACAATGACAGAGTTGTGTAACTGCAACAAAAAAAAACACATGGCCTTACAAAACAAAACAAAAAATATTTGCTCAACCTTTAGAAAAAAATTTTGTTGACCACTAATTTAGAAGAAAAGAATACCTAGCTATTGCTTTTTTTTTTTAAAGGCACTCAGAAGAATAGAGTGTTTATAGTTCAACAATCAAAGGACACCATCTCTAACATCCTCTCCTCTAATTTCTGAAAGATGCTTTTTGCCATCTCGATGCAGGGATCATTTGTGTGGGGTCTATGACTTGGCAGCTCAAGACCCTAAACTAATCACTACCAATTCCTACTTAATAAGTTTTTCAAATTTTATGTCAAACTTGAGATCACAACCGCCATGAAGACTCATAATGGTTCTACTTCCTTGTTTGTTCATGTAGTAAATAGCCCCAGATGATCTGACAGGGTATAAACATTTTTTTAATATTTAGGATATAAACATTTTGCTGCATCAGAATCATTTAGGGAGAAAACAACTGTCTTCTAATTATAGGATGATATAAGAATTTATCCTGAGTCAACCAAGTACCCTGAAATGTAAATGTAACTAAAATGCATACCTCCCAAACTAGATATCCGTTCTGCCAATGGCTGGTGAAAGAGATCACACCTGAGATAGATTTGTACGAGGTGTTATCTGTCTAAATTGTTCCTAAAGAGAAAACAATGGGAATAAACAAGGGGAAACATTAAAAAATGCCATGAAAAATAGAATGCTGTCAGTGATCTGCTCTGGCCAGATGAGACAAGGCCTGCATGGAATCTGCATTGAGGAGGAATTCAATAATTCTAACGCTCATTGGAATTAGAATTCTTAACCTCAATTTTCATGTCAATGAAAAATTTCTTTCTTAGACAAAGGGGGAGATGAGGGAGTCAGATAGCCAGACAGAAACAAACATTGAGCCAGGAGAATGAACTTTCTAAAATCCTCCATATCAGGGAAAAGAGGCAAAGAATCACTATAAACTCTACCAGAAAGGAAGAAAGATTCATTCATTTTTTCAACAATATTTATTTAGCACCTATATACCAGGCACTGCAGTTAGAGGCACTAAACAAAACAAAATTAGTTGTCCTCACGGAGCTTACATTCCAGTGGGGGTCAGAAATAAAATGCATTGCATTTTGTAGTGTTAAGTGCTCAGAAGAAAAACAGTGAGTGATAGGGAGTGTTGAGAGGGGTGTCCAACAAAAGCTACTTGATGAGGCAATATCTGAGTGCTTCTGGACTAGTGTGCTTCACAGTACACTTGATGGACTAGAATAGAGGTTTAACCCAAGAAATAAATAGTTTATACTCATGGAATATCCATGTGTGTCGTGGGCTTGCAGTTGTGATTGCCACATTGTTCTGTAGAGACAGTAACATAAGCCATTTTCTATATGGGCTAAAAGTTCAAGAAAAGAAAGGAGTGTACATTTTCCCATTTATTAGATAGATGAAAGCACACATTCAAAAAAATCGCTCCTTAAAATGTTCCCAAAACAATAAAGTACTAAAACGGTTTTAATTCACAGGACAAAAAAATAAAATAAAATAAACAAGGACAGACAAGAGATGTCAATGAATAGGCTGATAAAACAAAAACAACTGAGGAGTTTACACAGGACAGAATTTTTATTTGGGAATATCATCTGAAGGAATACATGGCAGGATACAAAGAGAGACAAAGCCATAGCAAAGCAACACTGATAAGCATCTCATGCTAGATCAAAATGCTGCAGGGAAAAATGTAGAGCCTACCCTGGAAAAGAATAAAAAGGAAACTCTACAGGATTTTTAAAAATGGGTCAGTGCCACACAGGTAAGCAAGTCTTACCTATGGGTGGCTAGTCCTGCTGCTAAATTGACACCAGGAAGATGTAGCAAAGAGAGTCAACCAGCTGCCAGAACTAGACTTACTTCAAAGAAAACGGTAAATTTAAACTAGAAGCTCCTTACCTTCCATACCTGTTGATCACGGAAAGCCAAAGCTGGGTCCCTACACATAGCATTAGACTTAAATGATTAGAGGAAAGGGATAAGGATTGGGATTACGCCTCACTCTGTCATACATAAATTTCAAAAACAAAGAAAGAACTGAGAAATTGAGCATAAGCACCCCCTAAAATATAACCGGTGAAGCAGGAAATATAACTTCTCTGACAGGTCTCAAACCTAAGACATCTAGGTGTTGCAAAATCTTCTCTAAAACAGCACAACATGTAAAACTTAATAGCAAAAATTCTTTCCATTCTTGAAAAAATCAGGATTAACTTATTTTTCTACCATTCATTTCTCTTTCTATAGAAGTCAACTATTTCCTCAAATACTCAATGCAAATTTTAAAAAGTAAATTCTATTTAAAAGATAGGGAGAATAACACTTTCCTATCTGTTACACTTTCACAGCATCTGCTACACTTACTTTAATAGACTGTTGTAAATATAAAATAAGGTGCATATCAATGTCCCTGGTAAAGATATTTTTAAAATCAAGTTCAAAAAACTAAACATTTTCAAGTTTTAGGAGTTCACACCAAAGATTTTATTGTAGTTTCACATTAGCTTACTTATTTTCTGCCCCCTATAAGATTATTGAAAAATACTTAAAATTAAAAATAGCAATATTAGACAGAGCAGAAACTAATACAAACACCACAAGTAACAGTGACAAAAAAGATTTCATAAATATCCTCCAAATTTAATTATTACTGATAAAAATCTTAAAGTACAAGCTAGACACTTCTCTCATTTCTTAATTTAAAAAAGCCTACAGAGAATGCACTCATTTCTTCTTTATGGATATTCTGCACAGCTGAAAAACCTTGACTTGCCCTGGCCCATGTGGCTCAATAGTTAGAGCACTGGTCCACGCACTAAAGGGTTTCGGGTTCAATTCCTGGTCAAGGACACACACCTCAGTTGCAGGTTCGATCCCCAGCCCTAGTATGGGGAGGGAGGCAATCAGTCAATGTCTCTCTCTCACATCAATGTTTCCTTCCTCACCCCCCTCACACACACACCTGTAGGTGAAGATTAACAAAAATAAAAATTTTATGTTAGTAACACATACTATATATAGATATATGTCTTACCTATTAAAGATTTGATATTTTCTAAGATTAAATCACTAGTAATATTTCCCGATAAATCTTGCCCCAATTCAGCAATCAATTTGGCATAGCCTTCATTCTCTTCTCTTAACAAATTGAATTTTTGCTGCTTATAACTGAAATTAAATAAACATCATAAAGGAGATAAAATTAATTTCAATTAACAGGCTTGCATAAAAGTAATGTGCTGTTACTGAATTTTCTTATCTCTATTATATATATCATAACAATAGCTATTGAAAGTTTAATACCTCTTAGTTTATCTTTTAGGATAATTACAGTTGTTCATAAGAGATACCCCAATGTTAATTACACAGGTGAAACCAGTAACACAAGAAAAAGATATTGCTAATCCCAAGGAACAATAACATACCACTATTTCCATCACTGACTAAGAATATACCCTAGAGCCGTGGTCGGCAAACTGCGGCTTGAGAGTAACATGCAGCTCTTTGGCCCCTTGAGTGTGGCTCATCCACAAAATACCACAGCCTGGGCAAGTCTATTTTGAAGAAATGGCGTTAGAAGAAGTTTAAGTTTAAAAAATTTGGCTCTCAAAAGAAATTTCAATCATTGTACTGTTGATATTTGACTCTGTTGACTAATGAGTTTGCCGACCACTGTCCTAAAGTATAGCCATAGCTATATTTTATTGGTAATAAAGAAAGCACTGAATGTTGTTTTAACTTCTAATATAAAAAAAAAGTAACATTGGTTTCATATGATAATGTTCACTGCTGACTCAGGCTACTTAAAAAAAAAAAAAAAAAAAGAAACAAGGACACATATATAATACCTCAATCAATAAAGAAAATTTTTAAAAAAAGAAACACAAGACATATGCTAACAGCAACAAAATAAAATCTTCAAACTGCCTTTAGAAAGTTGGTGACAGAAGATGATTTGACTTTGGGTGGTGGACACACAATACAGATCATAATTCATAGAAAAGTACACTTGAGGCAGTGCTTCTAGAGCCTGCCCACCCCACCTTCTTAATGCCCGAGGGTGATTTATTCCCTTTAATTAACAATAAAATCTTACCTTCACATTTAAACTTAAAAAAATAAATGTACACTTGAAACTTACATGATCCTATTAACTAATGTCACTTTATAAATTTAATTTAAAAAAAGAAACTTCTAGTATTCAAAATGAGAACTAAAACACATACTCAAGTACTTGATGTACAACATAAAAATACATGTACTTACAAGAGTTTTGTCTTGATTTTAACTGACTTTTGATTGAATTGCTGTGATTGTTTGATAAGCCCTAATGACTCCAATGTTTCTGGATCCAAGCGTTCCTTTAGAACTGTGTCTGAAACTAAATACTGTATTTGAAAATATTAAAGGCCATTTATTATTACAAATTAGCATTCCATCTGTACATCCACAATCTTAATTAAATACATTCAAAATAATTAATAAAACTATTAAAAGCACATTAGATATCAGCTTAAAATGTATAACAAAATTTAAAACTTCAACAAAAATAATGACTCCAAATATGGAAAAATACAGCATAGTTGTTTTGTTTTGTTTTAAAAGTCTATGCGTGCTATTTACAGCCTATTGAGTCTGTCAACTGCATTTTTTTAAGATAATACAGCACTTAAGCCTTCTTTGACTTCTACTGCTTAAGTCAAATAATTCTAGTACAGCAAAAACAAAGACATTCTCCTAGGTCTGAGTAATGGCATTTCTCCTTGGTTCTAAATTTATGAACATACAATGGTTTACTAGACAATGATTATAACAAATTCTAGAATCTATTGTTTTTAAACTATCTCCATTCTTTTTCTCCTTGCCTAATAATTTATGAAAAACTGTTTGTTTAAAAGCTGTCTACATCATTTCTCCTCACTTGCTAGATGCTTACCTTTTCATTCGGTTAGAAACCTACTAGGTCAGGGATTGTTTAAGTGATATGGTACCATGCCTATTTCATAGACATAATTAGCATGTCTAATTTTACAAAGCGTTCCATTTCAAAACCCAAATCATACCATATAATCAATTGAATGTCAATATCCTACTCCATTAACATGATCAACTGTGATTATAATGTAAAATTTAAAAAGGTAATTATTTTTAAAACTTACCAAACACGCTAATACCAATTGTGTAAAATAGTCTCTCTTGCTTTTTTCTTCTAAACAATTTGTCTCAATATCTACAATGATGAGGAGAAAAAAAGATGAAAGTTTAACTTACTTTTCTAGACTCTCTCCAGAACTATAATAATAAACTTATTTTCTTTAAAACTAGCTTATTTTAAAATGTCTCATTCCGAATTTAGAAAAAAAATTTAAACTATGGTAAATATGAGCTCTCCTTCATATGCATATGAATGCTCAGAATTTCTCCTGATACTGGAGACTGACCCTGTGATCAATGGCATATTCATAAAATGAGCTATGTGCTATGGCACTAGAAGCAACAGTTTCAAAAAAAATATTGTTTTCCCATGGACATAAGCAATAGGGTAGTGAAGGCCTGGTAGGTGGGGAGGGGCTGGGAGGAGGGGAATGAAGGAGGATGGAATGGGAGATATCTATAATTCTATCAACAATAAAAATATATTTTAAAAATACTGTTTTCAGAAATGGAAATATTAAGTTTTTTAATAATATATTTTATTTAACATAAAAGAGCCAAAATGTTTAAGGAAAGTGTAAATAACCACATTAGAGATGCTAAAGAAAAGATTTCTTCCTTAGGTGTAAAGTTGAACTGGGTGACAACAAAGATTTCTTCTAATACTTTTATTACTTATGAAGATCAAATCTTTGACGTTGGCTATCTTGGTAATATGAACCATGTTCTAACCAAGCTAATTTGCCTCCAACTCTATCAAAAGAGAGTATTAAAAAGATATTTTTAACATCTTATTTTGAATTACAAGTCTATTTAGCAAACAAAAATTTATTCAAGATTTTTGTTTCCTTCCCAATGAAATATGTATAAAAACTGAGATCTCCTTGAGATTCAGTAAATTATTCAGAAAATTTCTTTCAAACAATTTTCTGAAGTATAGAGGAAAGAAAATAATTAGCTCTATATGCTAACCATCAAAAATTTCAACCAGGCTTGGCAAGATTATAAGGCTGATCTCAGGATCACTGCTTTCACTGATTGCATTAAAGTCAAATCATAATTTAGAATGTGCTATAGAAAGAGTCATAAATTTTAGTAATTAATAATAAGAAGTGTCCTCTAAGGGTTCTAGGGTCTTCCCAAATAGATGTGCTACCACTGCTTTGCTTCAGTTTACTTTCTATTGCCATCACTGAGAATCAAAAGAAAAGATATATCATCAAAGATATCTACATTTTCCTGGCCCTTCTCCACTTTCCCTTCCTGGACAGTGCCATTTCCCAATAATTTTGGCCACTTTAGCTAAGCACACAATCAACTCAAGTGTATTAAAGGAATTTCAGGTGTAATTTATGCAATGTAAGTTGCAGTACAATCTCAAACCTCTCAATAAGACTTTTAATCCATGAGTATCTCACCCATCTCCCCCCCCCCCAAAAAAACCTTCCAGGAACTCCTAGTTGTCTCCTTGTTATCTGGCCTTATGGTCCCTCCTCAGCCAATAACTTCAAGGATATTGTTGTGCTAGGTCAGGACTAAACTGGGCCTATTCTTTTAAACATGTACCTACCATCCAAGGCCCTTAAGTCCCTAAGATATATTTCCAAGGTTCCTAAGATAGAGCACCTGGGTAGCAAGTTCTTCAAGTCAAATCTGCCCTCCCTCGTCTTAGCCATCTGACCTGATTAAGACACCACTCACTCTGTGTTATAATCTTGTTAGGAAATACTTAACAGGACATCTGTAAATTTCTTAGCTGAGCTATCTCGCTCTCTCGCTCTCTCGCTCTCTCTGGTGCTATCACTTTAATCTCCCCTATGGTTTTACTAAAAAGCCCTCACTCAGCCTTTTCCAACTCTAGGTCCCAATATTACCAACCACAGACCCAAGGTCAGCACATCAAATTACATCAGTACCCCCCCCCCTTTTTTTTCAGGTTAATAAAGATCTCTCAGATCCCCTCACCCTTACATGATTTTTTAAATAAAATTGATTTTAATCAGGAAAGTATAGCACTTATTTGTGGTATAACTATTAAAATATTAGAAAGACAACATGATGTAGTAAAAAGTTCATGAGCTCTAGAACTAAAAAGATCCAGGTCCAAACCATGCCTTGCAGGCTTCATGGCCTTAAAAAAAAATAGAATAATTTCTCTGAGCTTCAATTTTGTGATATCTACAACTACCATACACAAGTTGCTGTGAAGATTAAAATGAAATTAAATGTTTTAACACAATGACTAGAACATAGAAGGGGTTCCAAAAATGGCACCTATGTTATTACTATTTTCATCACCATCATCATCGTCGTCGTCGTCATTATTATTATTATTATTAGAGAAGTTCACGTTCTTACTCCTATTGCCCTATCTTAATCTGGGGTCACCCTTGGATCATTTTTTCTGCCAAGGGTGGGGGTACGTGAGTGAGGGGGCAGGTGAGGGAAATTCTCTTTCCAAGTTTGCCATCCTAAATCTTGCTTGTAATAATGGGCTGGATAAGCTAAAAGAAATTTGCCAAGAGCAACCAAATATCATCTTCATGAATTCATGTTACTAGTAAATAAATGACTTGTAATAATAATTTGCATTACTAAATACTTATGAAGGGAAATATACCCCAATAAAATAAATCAAAGAAATTATTAGAACTTACTAATAACCTGATAATTGATGAATACTCAAAGATAGACATAAAATATACTCCTGACACTATAAAAAATAACAGCTTCTATGAAATGTTATCTACAATCATTTTCAGTCTTAAAAATTTACAGTAAAAGTGATTTTTAAATTGAAACTTGTTTGTAACATGAAGTAATGTTTGTAACATAAAGTCATATCCATAATGCCTGTTTTGAAAATTAAGTTTAAAAAGGTTTTTTGTTGTTGGTATAAACCAGGACAGTTTTAAGATTGAAAAAAGGCACTACTCATAATTATGCCAAGGAAAACAAAATAAGACTGGAACATATGGTCACCCCATCAATGGTCTGCGCTTTTCATTTCTCACAGTCCATACATTTTCACCTGTTTCCGCATTACTGCTGTTATGAAATCTTAAACATCCCAAAGGATCAAACACCAGGCATTTAGATTTGTTAAGATCAAATTTCAGGCTCTCAGTAAGACATTTAACTAACCTATCTAAATCTAGGAATTAGAATTAATGAGCTTAAATAATTCATTCCAATTTGACAAACTCTTTTAAGTCTTTTTATTGTTGTTGTTCTCCCCACTGTTCCCATAGGAAGTAGCCTTAAGAGAGCAGCATGTTGTAGAGACCATCTGAACAGAACACAGTATACATGACTGAACCCCATTAGGGCCTCTACATAAACTTGAAGATTCTGGCAGGCAGGTGTGGAGACTTATTAGTCTTCCAGTCCTAGGAGACAAGCTTTGTAGGTAAGTTCCCTTGCTTATTAAATCTGCCACCTACAAATCTGGAGCGGTCGGCCTCTTTGATTTCTCCTTGCCCTCTGTTTAAGGGGTCAGTTTGCCAAGTCACATGCATATGTGTCTAAACTATATGAGTCTTCTCTGGATGTGTCCCCTTTTATGTAAATGGAATTATGCTTTTCTATAATATTCTCTAAGCTGCTTATTTTGCTCAATATTATTCTTTTATATTTATTCATATGGATGTATATAGCTGAAGAGCATTCAAACTCACTGTTGTCTTGTACAGGTTACAGCCCCTCATTATAAATTCTTCAGATTTCAGAAAGGTTGTCTTATTTTAAACTGAGCATTAAAATATCTGGCAATTTTGCTATTGGATCAGAGTTATAGAAAGCCTAAAACTGATGGGGAAAACTGTGCTCAGTTATTTTAATTCAGACATAAAATTAGAAAAATTTGTAATACACATATTTTTTAAATCCATTCTTCCCATGGAGGGACTCTACCTTTTGTAAAAGAAATAATCCTTACTGGCGAGCACACCTGTGCCTTTTCCATTTCCTTTTCCTTGCCTCCTGGTACGTCGTTCCCTTAGCTTTTCCCTCTCCTAAGCTCCAAGCAGTTTTTTGCTTCTGTAACTTGTTTCCTGAGCCTTCGCAGCCCAGCTGGCTCACTTCTACTACCTCTGTAACTTTCTAAATATACTTTCTCTTATAATTTGAAAAAAAAGAAATATTTGTTTTTTATATTGCATGAATTCTTATTTATCTGAAAAAACAGAGGAGGTGCTATTTCTAAAACTGGTTCCTCATCCTCAAAACAAAAGTAATTTTGATTACTTCAGCTTTTATTGCTCTTTTAAAAATTAAAAGTAATCAAGAGTACAAAAGCTAAATAAGTATCTCTTGAGTATGCTAAGTTTGAGATTCTGGCATGTATGGCATAAGATTAATTATAATAAATTGGAATACTCAGACTAACAACTTCAGAAAATTTGGCTTACTTATTTGAAACTAGAGGCCCAGTGCATGAAACTAGAGGCCCAGTGCATGAAATTCATGGGGGTAGGGGATGGGGGCAGGGGACGGGGGCGGGGTTTATCCCTCAGCTCAACCTGCACCCTCTCCAATCTGGGACCCCTGGAGGGATGTCCTACTGCCCGTTTACACCCGTTCCAGGTAGGATCAGGCCTAAATGGGCAGTCGGACATCCCTCTCACAATCCAGGACTGCTGACTCCCAAATGCTCGATTGCCTGCCTTCTTGATTGCCCCTAACCGCTTCTGCCTGCCAGCCTGATCACCCCCTAACCATTCCCATGCCAGCCTGATTGATGTCTAACTGCTCCCCTGCCAGCCTGTTTGCCCCTAACTGCCCTCCCCTTCAGGCCTGGTTACCCCTAACTGCCCTCCCCTACAGGGTTGATCACCTTCAACTGCCCTCCATTGCAGGCCTGGTCCCTCTCACTGCCCTCCCTTGCAGGCCTGGTCCCTCCCTACTGCCCTCCATTGCTGGCCATCTTGTGTCCACATAGGGGCAGGATATTTGACCACATGGGGGCAGCCATATTGTGTGTTGGAGTGATGGTCAATCTGCATATTACTCTTTTATTAGATAGGATAGAGGCCTGGTGGATGGGTGGGGGCCAGCTGGTTTGCCCTGAAGGGTGTCCTGGATCAGGGTGGGGATTCCCTTGGAGCATGGGGAGGCCTGGGTAAGGGGCCTGTGGTGGTTTGCAGGCTGGCCATGCCCCCCAGTGATCCAAATGGACGCCCTAGTATCTGGGATATATTTACTTTCCACAATTGAAACTTTGTAGCCTGGAGCAGAGCCAAGACTCCTGCTCGCTCCTTGGTGGCACCCGTTTCTGTTTAGATTTGTTTACCTTTTATAATTGAAACCTTGTAGCCTTGAGTGGAGGCTTAGGCTGGGAAGGGCAGGCAGAAAGCTTGGCTTCCTCTATTGCTGGGGAAATGCCTTCCTTCTGCTCTCTGTGGCTGTAGCCATCTTGGTTGCGTTTATTTAAATACTAGCTCTGATTGGCTTGTGGGCGTGGCTTGTGGGCATGGCTTGTGGAGCGGAGTGATGGTTAATTTACATATTACTCTTTTATTAGGTAGGGTGACTTAATTTAGCTCAATTTTATATAAAGACTAAATCTGGAAAACTACAACTATTTGAATTATAAACTAAAACTAGTTTATCAATAGTGATTATACTCACATTTATTTAGAATATTATATTCTCTATGAAGTAAAAAAAATATATATATATATATATATATATATATAGTCTAGATTTTAAGAAACATTTATATATTTTAAAATCCTCAGGTCGAATGGAAAAAATTTAATACATTAAATTAATTTACCAATAGCACTTTTACAGGTAAAATAAAAAATTAATACCTACCTAGTATGCAGAATACATCAGCAAGAATGGAAGGCAAATCCTCACGAAATTCCTAATTTTAAAAATATAATTATTCATAGTAAATACTACAATAACACACCAGCAAGTATTATGGCTTCAGGCTAATACCCTTCAGCAATAAAACTTAAAAACTAACAAAACCTCAATACCACTATGTTGACAAAAAAATTTCTTCAAGTTTCATAATATAGAGAAATAAAAAATGTGGGAAAGCATGGTTAATTGTCTACCATGAAATAACCTGATTTAAAACACACACACACACACACACACACACACACACACACATACACACACCCCTAACCAAGCACCTCAGGAAATATTAAAGAGCACAAACAAGTAACATTTTTCCAATGAAGTTTCATGTTAGAAACCACTGGAATCTGGAGTACCTCACACCTACGTAAAGCAAGACTATTAACAATGGTACATTTTTCATCCAAAACTTTAAATGCTGTGTTTGTGCCTGAACAACACTGATAAATGCAGAAATCATAGTGGTAACAGAAATCTAAAAAAATACAAAAACAATTACAAGCTGTTGTTCAATAACTCAAGATTCTCTGGAGATGAAAATAATTACCAAAAATCCATCTTTATTTTTCTTATGCACAGATATCTGTAGCATTTGGAGAAACTGACCAAAAATTTTCCCCTCATTTCTGCATGAAAACTTCAGCACTTCCCACTCCCATGCCCAATTTTAGAGCCATTTTCCATTAGTAAGGATCACAGTTCAACTTTTGCAATTACGTTGCTGGCATAACAGCAACCCTAAAATTAACCTCTTCTCAGATACTACAGGAAATTTAATTCTAAAGAACAAACTGACATCTGTAAGAGACTGCAAAATATAATATGTTTGTGGCTAAAATGTGGGATACTGAGAATAGGACTGTGAGGAAGCCACAACAAAGATACCGTGTTTCCCCAAAAATAAGACATCCTCCGAAAATAAGGTTCACTTCTGAGTGAAATATAAGGCATCCCCCAAAAATAAGCCCCCCCCCAGGCTAAACATGAGAGATTGGTCCACTGATTCTGAAAGAAATGGAGTCACAAGAAATTCACCAGGAAATTCAGGAATTGGATTGTTATGATGACATAATTGTCATTGAATAAATGAGTAAATTCTTGATACTGTAGGATTCACAGTTTGTCTGGTTTGTGTTGACAACTACCGTACTACTGTACCGTATACAGGGAATAAATTTCCTTTATTTTCATTTAACAATAAATGTGTGCCGTATTCTTCTTCATGGAAAAATAAGAAATCCCCTGAAAATAAGACCTAGGGCATCTTTGGGAGCAAAATTAATATAAGACACTGTTTTATTTTCGGGGAAACAGGGTAATCCAGCTGCAGAAGTACAGATGATAGATAAGATAGATGATTGATAGATAGATAGATAGATAAAATCACTAAAGACTTAAAGGAAATGGGAAGATAAGAAACAAACACATATTAAGTTCTATTGGACTATTCATTTTCAATAGAGTATTAGGCTCAGTTTCCATAACCACACTAAACCCTACATTGATGCCCAATTTACAGAATGAAATAAACTTAATTGTAGACCACTTTAGTCTCAACTTTCTTAAGAGCTATGAACTTTGACTATGTCTACTTAAATGAAAGTACTCGAGCTACCTGAAAACCATAAATAACAGAGCAAAACACGTGTTTTCAAAGATGGGTTAGTTAAGAAACAGACTATTCCAACTTGACTTAGGGTATTAAACAAGCTATACAGTGTTATCGAGTTGTGTACCTGAAACCTGTATAATTTTATTAACCAGTGTCACCCTAATAAATTTTTAAAAAGAGAGAGAAAGAAATAGACTACTCCAATATAGTTAATGCTGCTATTATCAGATAAAGAAAAACAGTTTAGGGATAAAAGAGAAACTCATTAAAGCCCTCAAATACATATCAATATGGCAGGGGAAAATCACAACAGCTAAACATAGAAGTTCTTTAAGACTATCCCTGGGGAAAACCAAGATGGCTGCATAGGTTAATGCCACCTCCCATAAACCACATCAAAATTACAACTACAATACTGAACAACCATCATTCAGAACTGCCTGAAAGGTGGCTGAATGGAATTTCTACAATTAGAGAAGAAGAAAATACATTGAAACTGGTAGGAGGGGCAGAGTCATGGAATGAACTGGTCTGGCACCCAGGTTTTTGTTTTGTTTTGTTTTTTAAATCTGGATGGAGATTTTTCTCGTCTGGATGGAGATTATCTTGGCAGAGGCTGCCTATAAGGAGAAAAGGAGCCCAGCCCCACACCAAACCCTCATCCCAGGGTTCCAGAGCTGGGAAGAAAAGTCCCCCTAACTATGGGCTGTAAAAAGCAGTGGGGATGATAGCTAAGTGACACTGAAGCTGCTAGAGACCCACCTGTTCCTTTTAAAGGGCCAGCACACAAACTTACTTGGCTTCAATACCTCTGAGCTCCAGAACTGGGTTGCTTTTGGGAACTCAGACACATGTGGGGAGGAACTATTATAGATCGTCTGGCATCAGGGCAGGAACTCGGAAGTAGCTTTCTCCCAGACAAGGGTGCTCGCAGGGATCATTGTTCTTGTGCTGGAATCTCCCCGGTAGTAGAGCTGACTGACAGGGGCCATATCTGAGACTTCATAAAACTGGCTCACACTGTTTGCTCCACCCTGGTGATTCCCTGAGATCCTCCTCCATCCAATTTGCAGTCCCACCCAAACTGTTTGCAGCAGGTTTTCCATATGAATGGCCTTACTGGGCTCAGGCTTCATTAAAAATCTCTCAAACTGCATCTGGTGTCAGCAAGCCCCAAACCTCTCAATAAAAGGCCCTACCTTGCTTCAAGCTAGGCCTCACCTGGGCACTTCCAAGCACAATACAAATAGCAGCCATCTGCAGATCTCTCTGTAGCTCCTGCCAGGTGGCCCCAGGCAGTGACTGACTTTGCACCTCCCTGGAGTTGCAAGAGCCAGTGCACCCAGTTAACAGGTTCAGGTCATACCAGACTACAACTCTACATATTCGCAAGCGACACACTCAAGGGGAAGACTCAATGAATACCAAAGCCTCACTGAAGCAAGTCCTGCTCCACAGGATGTTTCCTACATAGCAGCTGTCCCACTGTAGTCACAATTGGCCTAGAGATCAATTCCTCCCAGTGACACCAATAGCAGTCAAGGCTCAACTACAAGACTGTGCACATAGCCCACACAGAGGTACACCTAGAATGCCCAGCTCAGGTGACTGGGGAGGCTGAGTCACTAGGCCCTATAGGATACCTACGATACAAGCCCACTCTACCAATTCCAGGAGACATAACAACTCTACCTAATACATAGAAACAAACACAGAGAATCAACCAAAATGCTGAGAAAAAGAAACTTGTCACAAATGAAAGAAATGGAAACAAGCAAACTACTAAATACAGAGTTCAAAACCATGGTTACAAGGCTACTCAAAGATCTTCATGAGACATTCAAGGGACTTAGTGAGAATTTCAAGGATCCTGGTGAGAATGTAAAAGACATAAAAAAGGACCAGTCAGAAATTAAGCACACACTAATTGAAATAAAGAATAATTTACAGGATTTCAACAGTAGATGATTCCAAGAATCAAATCCAAAAATATGAAGATAGTATAAGGAGCCTCTGGGACAACTTCAAGCTTACCAATATTCGCATTATGGAGATGCCAGAAGGAGAAAAGAGAGAGCAAAATACTGAAAACCTATCTGAAGAAATAATGGCAGAAAACTTTCCCCTATCTGGTGAAATAAATACAAGTCCAAAAAGTACAGAATCCCAAACAAGAGGAACCCAAAAAGGCCCACACCAAAACACATCATAATTAAAATGGAAGGATTAAAAACAAAGAGAAAATCTTAAACACAGCAAGAGAAAAGCATTAGATACCTACAAGGGTGTGTTCATTCGACTGTCAGTTGATTTTTCAACGGAAACTTTGCAGGCCAGAATGGAGTGCCAAGAAATATTCAGTGATGAACAGCAAGGACCTACAAAATGATCACTCTACCCAGCAAAGCTATCATTTAGAATTGAAGGTCAGATAAAGAGTTTCATAAATAAGAAAAAGCTAAAGGAATTCATCACCACCAAACCAGTATTATATGAAATGTTGAAGAGTATTCTTTCAGAAGTGGAGGAAGAAAAAGATTAAAAAAATATAAACAATAAAATGGCAATAAATACATATCTATCAACAATTGAATTTAAAAATCAAGATAAATGAACAAGAAACCTAATGAACAAAATAAACTGGTAAATAAAATAGAATCAGAGGCATGGAAACATGGAATACATGGACAATCTCAGAGGAAAGTGAGGAGAGAGGGAGGGAAGAGATTAACCAAAGATCTTACTTATGTACACAGAAAATAGAGTGGTGAAGGTCTGGAGAGGGACAGGGCAGGAACTGGGTGGAGGGGTGGCAATGGGGGTGGGGAGAGAAGGGAAGGGGAATATCTGTAATACTCTCAACAATAAAGACTTAAAAGGCTTAAAGAAAAGAAGAAAAAAAAAAACTATCCCCAGAAAAGCACAAAAAAAAAAAAAAAATCAGCTGAAACCGGTTTGGCTCAGTGGTAGAGCGTCAGCCTGCGGAATGAAAGGTCCCGGGTTCAATGTACCTTGGTTGCGGGCGCATCCCCCGTGGGGGGTGTACAAGAGGCAGCTGGTCGATGTTTCTCTCTCATCGACGTTTCTAGCTATCTCTCTCCCTTCCTCTCTGTAAAAAATCAATTAAGACATATTTTTTTTTAAATCATACAAAGGAGATTACCTATCATAACAGAAAGAGACTAGAAGCTTAAGGCAACACAAGGGAAATTTGTACTAATATCAAAAAGCCTGAAGTCCTATCTCAATAATGCTTATTATTACAGGTGTTCTCATCTAGATATATGATTTTATTTATATAAGTTGAAAATCCAGCCCAGCAGAGTAATACATTACTTATAAAAATTCAAATTTAACTACTGATTTACAATAAACACCCTAACACCCTTACAATTTCAGAGCTCATCTTTCAATTCAAATATCAAACCACCATGAAAAGCATATAGTCTGAATCTAACTTAAATCCTTTCCCATATAATAAAAGCCTAATATGCTACGTGTCCAACTGTTCTTTCAACTGTTCGACCAGTCACTATAATGCGCAACTGACCACCAGGGGACAGACACTCCAACCAGTAGGTTAGCTTGCTGCTGGGGTCTGGCCAATCAGGACTGGGCAAGATGATCTGGACATGCCCTGGAGCCCTTCCATGGTCCCTCCCTGGCCCTGATGGTACACCAGTGGGGTCCCTCAGCCTGGCATGCACCCTCTCACAATCCAGGACCCCTCAGGGAATGTCGGAGAGCAGGTTTTGGCCCTATCCCCACAGGCCAAGCCAAGGGACTCCACTGCTGCAAGGACCCATGCACTGGGCCTCTAGGTCTCTGACCAATGTGGCTCAGTGGTTGAGTGTTGACCATGAACCAGGAGGTCATGGTCTGTTTCCCAGACAGGGCATATGTCCAGGTTGCGGGTCTCATCCCCAATGTGGGATGTGCAGGAGGCAAAATCAATGATTCTCATTAATCATTGATGTTTTTATCTCTCTCTCTCCCCCTCCCCCTTCCTCTCTGACAGATAATCTGGACATGCCCTGGAGCCCTCACTTGCCCAGCCAGTGTTGCTCAGTGGTTGAGCATAGACCCATAAACCATGAGGTCATGGTGTGATCCTGGTCAGGGCACATGTCTGGGATGTTGTTCTAGAAATCCAGTAGGGGACATGCAGAAGGCAGCAGATCAATGATTCTCTCTCACTATTACGTTTTGGTCTCTCCCTCACTCTCCCTTCCTCTCTCTGAAAACAATAAAAACATATTTTTTTTAAAAAGAGTAAAACAGGCTGAAACCGGTTTGGCTCAGTGGATAGAGCATCAGTCTGCAGACTAAAAGGTCCCGGGTTCAATTCCGGTCAAGGGCATGTACCTTGGTTGCAGGCACATCCCCAGAGGCAGCTGGTCGATGTTTCTCTCTCATCGATGTTTCTAGCTCTTTATCCCTCTCCCTTCCTCTCTATAAAAAAAAAATCAATAAAAAATATTTTTTTTTTAAAAAGAGTAAAACAGAATAAACACATAAAGTTTAGGAAAAAGTCTAGTTAACATATTCTATAACCAGCAAACACATGAAAATTGGCATCAAGTGAACACTAGAGCTATGCAGCCTCAATTTAAAAACATAATTTTGAAACATAACCACAAACAAAAGAAAACACTTTGATATGCTATATTGGGAGAAAAATATTCTGGTCAAATTATTCTTTATAGTACCCTTTTAATTAACTATATCTTGATTTTATTACAATGCAGGCTTTTTTTTTGGCCCTCCCAGATTACATAACATTTATTGCTTTACTCACAACCACACAAAATTATTAAAATACCTTTGTCTAGCAACAATAACTTACCAGCATTACCTTAAAACATTTCATTTTGGATAAATGAAATGCAAATTATACACTTCAAAGATGTTTGTATCTAATGCAAAAGAAATGGGTAACGATTATTACATTTTATAAAAAGCATATAATATATACTTACACTAATGTCATTAAAAACAGCAGATGCCTGTTCATGCTTTAGGTTCCCTTTAATGACGTGGTATGATAATTCATACAGAACTTGCTGGAAATCTGTTGAATATAAAAGAAAGAATATAAGTACACAGTCTCTTGAATATGAAAAGCAGAATCTCTGGGAAAGATGTATATATTTCCTACTTTTCAGATTTGTCATAAATATCAACAATAAGAAAAAGAATACTTCTAATGCTTTACATATTTTTTCCTTTTATTTTTACAAAAACACAATTCTAAAAGAGTAGGAAAAGTTAATGTTTGCTCCACTACTATACATAATTACTGCTTGAGAATTTCTTTCCAGTTTTTTTCTATATGTCTATATATTTTACAAATTTGCATTTACAGTGCTCATCATTTGGTATTCTGATATCCCGTCCCCCACCTCCACTTTTGAAAGCATTTTCTCAGGCAGAAACCAAGATGGCAGCATAGGTAAACACCTGAACTTGCTGCAGAGCACAACCACTTCAAAACTTCAACGAAAAGACAAACGAACATCATCCAGAACCAGAAGAAGGCTAGCTAAATGGAAATTCTACAACTAGAAGGGAAGAGAAAAGCACTGAGATTCAGAGGAGCTGCGGAAGTAAAGTCCACAGGTACTAAGGCACGCTCAGAGAAGGCTGGCTACTGAGTACGCAGCTGGCTTTTTCGATCTACAGGGAGACACAAGTTCCCGACTGCTTCCAGTTCCAGGTGAGACTCTGGGTACCCAGACTCATACGAGGAGAAACTGGACTGTCTGGCAGTGGATGGAACCCGAGGGTGGCTCTCTCTCAGGTGCTTGCAGCGACTACCAAGGGACACTGAGACCCAGGGGCCTCTTAAGGCAGGGCTGACAGGAATGCACTGCTGTGTGATCCGCCCTGAGACTCCCCCCCATACAAGCTGAGCACAGAGGCTTTTGCATATGAATGGCCTGGTCCTTTGAAATTTAAAATTACCTAACAAACTGCAGCTGAGTCAGAAAGATTCAGAACATCCAAAAAAAATTCCCAAGGCCCCACAACAGCTTGCACTGCTTCACAGATGAACCTCATCTGGGCACCCCAAACAAAGAGAAAGTACCTGCAGATCTCTCCATAGCTCCTGCTGTGTGGCCTCAGGCAGAGGCTAAATTAGCACCTCCTTGGAGATGCAAGAGCCAGTACATCCAGGGGTCAGAGTAGAAACGTCCAGATTATAACTCCTAAGATCCATAAGGGATACACTCAAGGGGCCGAGTCAGTGAGCACCAAAGCCCCACTGAAGCAAGTCTTGCCCCATAAGGGTGTCTCCAGCACAGTTCTCCCATTGCAGACACAGCTGATTCTTACAACCAATTGGCCTGGAGGTCAAATCCTGCCAGTGATATCAACTACAATCAAGGCTTAACTATAACAATACAGTGCACACAACCCACAAAGGGGTGCACCAAGAGTGTCCACCTCAGGTAACTGGGGAGGCTGACCAACTGGACCCTATAGGACACCTAGCACACAAAGCCACTCTATCAACTCAGGGAAACAGCCAAAATGCGAAGACAAAGAAACAGGTCACAAATGAAAGACATAGAGGAAAGCAAACTACTGGATATAGAGTTCAAAACCATGGTTAAAAGGCTTTTCAAGAATTTTCTAGAAAAGGCTGATAAATATAGTGAGACCCTCAAAGATATGAAAAAGAACCAACTAGAAATTAAGCATACACTGACTGAAATAAAGAATTATATGTAGAGATCCAACAGCAGACTACAGTATCGCAATAATCAAGTCAAAGATTTGAAATACAAAGAAGCAAAACACACCAAACAGGAAAAGAAAAAAGAAAAAAGAATCCAAAAATATGAAGATAGTGTAAGGTGCCTCTGGGACAACTTCAAACATACCAACATCAGAATTATGAGGGTGCCAGAAAGAGAGAGCAAAACCTATTTGAAGAAATAATGACAGAAAACTTCCCCCACCTGGTGAAAGAAATAGACTTACAAGTCCAGGAAGCGCACAGAACCCCAAACAAAAGGAATCCAAAGAAGACCACACCAAGACACCACCACACCAATCATAATTAAAATTCCAAGAGCAGCCGAAACCAGTTTGGCTCAATGGATAGAGCGTCGGCTTGGGGACTGAAGGGCCCCGGGTTTGATTCCGGTCAAGGGCATGTACCTTGGTTGCGGGCATATCCCCAGTAGGGGGTGTGCAAGAGGCAGCTGATCGATGACTCTCTCTCATCAATGTTTCTAGCTCTCTCTCTCTCTCTCTCCCTTCCCCTCTGTACAAAATCAATAGAATATATTTAAAAAAAAAATTCCAAGAGCATACAACCAATGGACACAAAACTCTGAGGACGGAGGGCATACATGGGAGGGGGCGGCAACTGTATATGTACACAGATAATAATTTAATTTAAAAATTTTAATAAAATTAAATAAATAAATAAAATAAAATGCCAAGAGCAAAAGACAGAATCTTACAAGCAGCAAGAGAAAAACAATTACCTATAAGGGAGCACCCCTACGATTGTCAGCTGATTTCTCAACAGAAACTATGCAGGCCAGAAGGGAGTGGCAAGAAATATTCAAAGTGATGAATAGCAAGAACCTACAACCAAGATGACTCTACCCAGCAAAGGTATCATTCTGAATTGAAGGTCAGATAAAAAGCATCACAGATAAGAGAAAACTAAAGGAGTTCATCACCACCAAACCAGTATTATGTGAAATGATGAAAGGTATTCTTTAAGAAGAGGAAGAAGAAGAAAAAGGTAAAGATAAAAATTATGAACAACAAATACTACCAACAAATGAATCTAAAATCAAGTGAATAAAAAACCTGATGAACAGAATAATCTGGTGAATATAATAGAATCAAAGGCATAGAAAGGGAGTGGACTGACAATCCTAGAGGGGAAAGGGAAGTGGTCAAAAATCATACACCTATGGATGAGGACAGTTGTGGGGGGTGGAAACCGGGTGGAGAAGAACTATGGGGGGGGGGAGAGGAGCTAGGGGGAAAGTGAATGGTCAAGTGAATACCTCCTCCTTCCAGCTATCTTTTTTTTATTGAGTCCCATATGCTAAAAACTTTATTTCCTTCCTCTCACTAAAAGTAGAGAAACAAGGAGCTCTAAAAATATTAATATAAAATAGAGTCAATTTATAATCTCCTTTTGAAGGGAATCAAAAATATTTTAAACCTGTCAGAATGGCCAACATCAACAAATCAACAAACGACAAGTGTTGGCAAGGTTGCGGAGAAAAAGGAACCCTCGTGCACTGCTGGTGGGAATGCAAACTGGTGCAACCACTGGGTAGAACAGTGTGGAGTTTCCTCAAAAAACTGAAAATGGAACTCCCATTTGACCCAGTAATCCCACTCCTAGGAATATATCCCAAGAAACTAGAAACACCAATCAGAAAGGATATATGCACCCCTATGTTCATAGCAGCACAATCTACAATAGCTAGAATCTGGAAACAGCCTAGGTGCCCATCAGCAGATGATTGGATCAAAAAACGATGGTACATCTACACAATGGAATACTATGCTGCCATAAAAAAGAAGGGATTCTCATCATTTGCAGCTACCTGGATGGAATTGGAGAACATTATGCTGAGTGAAATAAGCCAGTCAATGAACGAAAAACACCACATGACCTCACTCATTTGTGGATAATAAAGAACATTATAAACTGATGAACCAAAAGATAGATATAGAGACAATATATCAACAAGCAGACTGTCAAATTACAGCGGGGAGGGGAGGAAGATCTGGGGGAGATAAGATCAACCGAAGGACTTTTATACATGCATATAAGTACAACCAATGGACATAAAACTCTGGGGAGGGAGGGGATATGTGGAAGGAAGGGAGGTGGGCAAAAAAAAAAATAATCAATAAAATATATTTTTTTAAAAAATATTTTGAGGCAAAATTACAAGGAAAAAAATCAAATATTTAGCCCTGGCCAGTTTGGCTCAGTGATTAGAATGTCAGCCTGCACATCAAAGGGCCATGAGTTAGATTCCTGTCAAGGGCACATATGTAAGTTGCAGGCTAGATCCCCAGTGAGTTGCATGTGGGAGGCAACAACTCAATGTGTCTCTTTCACATGGATGTTTCTCCCTCTCACTATCCTCCCTCTCTCTTCAACTCTATCTAAAAGCAATAGAAAGCCCTGACCGGTTTGGCTCAGTGGATGGTGCGTCGGCCTGCAGACTAAAGGGTCCCAGGTTCAATTCCGGTCAAGGGCATGTACCTTGGTTGCGAGCACATCCCCAGTACGGGTGTGCAGGAGGCAGCTAATCCATGTTTCTCTCTCATGGATGTTTTTAACTCTCTATCCCTCTCCCTTCCTCTCTGTAAAAAAATCAATAAAATATATTTTAAAAAAACAAATAAACAAATAAATAAATAAATAAGCAACAGAAAAATATCCTCAGTTAAGGATTTTTAAAATGATTTTAAATCAAATATTTAAAAAGCTTCTCCCTTGGTCTGACTACTAGTCACACAAAAAAAGGAATATAACAGATATAAAAACTTTTATAAATTCCCCTTTAAACAATGAAAATACTATTTTACAATGAAATAAAACTGTACATTAAGTTATTTGTTAAAGAAATATAACCAGATTATCCCAATTCTTTGTGAAGACATATTTACTTTTTATTATATATACATTCTATATTTTGCAAAAATATGGTTTCATTGTGCTTATAATAAACTATATAAAAACTAAAATGCAAAGGAGAATTTTCTATTTATTAGTATGGTAGGATTATGGGGTCAATTTCAACTTTCACTTTCTATTAATAAAATGTTTTCACAACAAATAATACTCATTTAAAGTTACCTAGATAGCTAAATTATTTTTAAAAAGCAATCACTCTTCAAGGACAAAACAGCTGAGCATAAACCAAATTCCCATAAGAATATGGGTTCATGAGGTTCAGGGAATTCTAATCTTAATAACAGAAGATTAAAATAGAAAGCAAATAGCCCAGGTCATTTTTCTGATATTAAGTTACATAAAAACAATCACAATGTAATCCAAAAGTAGCAAAAAATAGTCCCCAATTCACAAGTTATTTAAATGCCCATTTAAGTGGTTAGAAACTCTTCTTATATTTTATCTATAGTAACAGTCAGTGGTGCCTTAACACTACCAGGTTATCCCCAACAAAGTCCTGCAAAACCTACAAAGTTGAAAAACTACATTTACAATGGGGAGGAAAACTTAAAACCCTCACACCAAAAATAATAGTAAAATATTTTATCTTAATGCTAACACTTCAGAAAAAGCAATTTTAAGAATAGCCACAAGTAAAAGGGACTTCTATTAGATAGAAGGGTTGTGGGCTAGAACCCCAGTTGAAATTGTAAGGGTGTTAGGGTGTTTATGGTAAACCAGTAGTTAAGTTTGAATTTATATAAATATTCAGTCCAGTTGAGAACACCTTTAATAATAATGTTCATTGTGGGATTTGAACATTAAAGACACCAGTTGTTGGTTATGTGGAGTATCACTAGAACTAGTCATGTTTATTAGCCATATTATTATGTTATTTTATTGGGGGAAGGGACTTATAAAAAAGACCAAGGTGAAGTAGTGTGTGCAAGGGAAACTCATTGCCTGAAATAAAATCAATTCAAGGGAGGGGGCAGAAGGGAAAAGGGCAGAGAAATACACTACACACACTCGATCCCCTTAGATAGAACAAAAGAAATTCTGAAATTACATTCAGTTTCCTGCTTGGACTACCTACTGGGGCACTCAAACCAAAGCTTGATTGTTGGCATATAGCAGCCAAAGAGTATATATGTGTTGAGAAACAGGCAATGGCAAGCAAAAGAAAGCACTAGCAAATTCAGCCAATGAGATGCTCATAACTGTTTCTGGTTTTAATTGTGAATCAGAACAGCCATGAAAATTAACAATATTTGTTTTTAATCAATATGTTTTTACTGACTTTTTAGAGAGGGAGGAAGATAGATAAAAATATGGATGAGAGAGAAACATCATCCATCGGCTGCCTCCTGCACTCCCCTTGCTGGGGATGGAGCCCGTAAAGAGGGCATGTGCCCTGATCCAGAATCAAACCAGTGACTTCTTGGTTCATGGGTCAACACTCAACAACTGAGCTACACAGGCCAGACACTATCTGATAGTGATTAAAGATCCACACAGACCCCATTTAAAACTAAAAGAGTTATCACCATGTGTTATGCTATTTATACTTTTTATAAAAATTCTTTCTTTTACCCACTTAAGGTTTCAATGACAAACACAATGAAGTTAACAGAAGTTAAAATTTTGTTTTAAAAAGGAGAAGAAAAAATTTAGTATCTAAGTGCTTTTAGAAAGGAGTCTTTTACTTTCTTACACTTCTGGCAGTCAGCTGATTTATTCAAAAAACAAGACATTATATCAACCTCAGAAATCTTTATGAAAAAAATTTTTAAAGAAATCTTTATGAATGATCATGCAATTATATAAGCAGGATGAATTGAAAAATAAGTTTGGGGCCCAAACTGGTTTGGATCAGTGGATAGAGAGTCAGCCTGCGGACTGAAGGGTCCCAGGTTCAATTCCAATCAAGAGCATGTACCTTGGTTGCGGGCACATCCCCAATAGGGAGTATGCAGGAGACAGCTGATCAATGTTTCTCTCTCATTGATGTTTCTAACTCTCTATCCCTCTCTTCCTCTCTGTAAAAAAATCAATAAAATATATTTTTAAAAATAAGAAAAATAAGTTTGGGGACTCAGGCTAGGAACACTAAGTCTTAAAACAGACCTTACCCAAATGACAAAAAAACTGGCTCATTCATTTGTTAAAAAATGCTTTCCCCTAAAAAAAAAAAATCTTTAAAAAGAATATAATCTCACCTGGCTGCAGGGCTGTGATTGAGCATGAACCAGGATGTCATGGTTCTTTTTTTAAAATATTTTATTGACTTTTTAGAGAGAGTAAGAGAGAGGGACAGAGAGTTAGAAACATCGATGAAAGAGAAACATCAATCAGCTGCCTCTTGCACACCCCCTACTGGGGATGTGCCCACAACCAAGGTACAGGCCCTTGACTGGAATCGAACCCGGGACCTTTCAGTCCGCAGGCCAATGCTCTATCTACCGAGCCAAACCGATTTCGGCATATCATGGTTCTATTATCAGTTGGGGCACATGCCCAGGTTGCGGGCTCAATCCCCAGTATAGGGAGTGCAGAAGGCAGCCAATAAATGATTCTCTTATCATTCATGTTTCCATCTCTCTCTCTCTTTCTCTCTCTCTTTCTCTCTCCCTCTCCCTTCCTTTCTAAAATCAATAAAAATTTATTTTTTATAAAACAAATATATAATTTTTGATAAAAACAAAAGCACACTTATCTACAGAAAATCATTCTGTTCTTAATTTTCTACTCACAATGACATAATTTACATAACTACAACGAATTTTATCTAAAAATTTTGGAGTTAAAATAGAATATTGGCTGTGAATTACTTTTCCCAAATTGAAAAAAATGTCATGGTTTCTATTTCAATGAAAGCTACATAGGAAAATACTTTAAACTTACTAAACATAATTGCTTTTGTTTTTATCCCTCCTTTTCTAAATCCATATGCCGAATTTGAAATATATGAATGTTAAATAGTAACATAATTCAATATTAAAATAACTGGAAATTTATATCCTCTTAGTTACATAACACTTTACTTAATAAGCCATATTTGTGATATGCAGTACACACCTTTGCTTTTAATGTTTTCCATGACAACTACCTTTAGCAAGATCCCGGATACCACCTAAACATACCAGCTTTAGTAAAAACATTGAATCTCAGTTTCTGGAAATTTCCTAGTGTAAATAAGATCACAATAATTTTACTTTCCATTTTAGCTTTTCACTTATCTTTGTGACTAATAACTAGTCTATGTAATTTTTCATATAACTAGGAACTGTATTATAAAATCCAAGCTATATCATGACGATTATGTAGGTTAAATAGCATCCTTATGCAAAGATGTATAGTATTACTATAACTACAGTTTTAAATCTGAACTGTAAATTCCTATCTAATAAAAGCGAAATATGCAGCCCTAACTGGTTTGGCTCAGTGGATAGAGCCTTGGCCTATGGACTGGGGGGTCCCAGGTTCAATTCCGGTCAAGGGCATGTGCCTTGATTGTGGGCACATCCCCAGTTGGGTGTGTGTAGGAGGCAGCTGATCGATGTTTCTAATTTTCTATCCCTCTCCCTTCCTCTCTGTAAAAATCAATAAAATATTTTTTTTAAAAGGAGAAATATGCAAATTAACCTTACCTCTTCTATACCTACTAGACATGCCCACCAGCCAATCAGGAGTGAGTATGTAAATTAACCCAGCCAAGATGGGTGCAGCCATGGAGAGAGCAGGAGGCTTGGGTTTCCCTGGCAATGAAGAAAGCCAAGCTTTCCACACACCCTGGCCTGCCTTGGCCTCTGCTTAAGGCTACAAAGTTTAAATTATAGAAGATACATAAGTCCCAACAAAAATGGCGGCAGCCACGGAGCTGGAGAGAGCAGGGGGCTTGAGTTTCCCCTGACGATGGAGGAAGCTAAGTTTCCACAGCCCTGGCCTGCCTTGACCACTGAAGGCTACAAAGTTTCAATTATAGAAGATAAATAAATCCCAGATACCAGGGCCTCCACTTAGGTCACTGGGGGGCGTGGCCAACCTACAAACCACCATAGGCCCTTCGCCCAGGCTACTCCATGCCCTAAGGGAACCCCATCCTGATCTGGAACACCCTTCAGGGAAAACAAGCCGGCCCCCACCTGTGCAGCAGGCCTCTATCCTATCTAATCCCCCTTTCTAATAAAATAATATGCAAATTGACCATCACTCCAACACACAAGATGGCTGCCCCATATGGTCAAAGACGGCTGCCCCCATGTGGACAAAAGATGGTCACCACAAGATGGCCAGCAGGAGAGGGCAGTTGGGAGGGACCAGGCCTGCAAGGGAGGGCAGTTGGGGGTGATCAAGCCTTCAGGGGAGGGCAGTAAGGGGTGACCAGGCTGGCAGAGAAGGGAATTTGGGGGCAACTGGGCCTACAGGGAAAGGCAGTTGGAGAGGACCAAGGTCTGCAGGGGAATCAGTTAGGGATGACCAGGTATGCAGGGGAGAGCAGTTAGGGGTGATCAGGCCTGCAGGGGAGGGCAGTTAGGGGCAAATAGGCTGGTAGGGGAGCAGTTATGCATCAATCAGGCTGTCAGGGTGTGGTTAGGGGTGATCAGGCTGGCAGGCAGAAGTGGTTAGGGGCAACCAGGACGGCAAGCAGGCGAGCAGTTGGGAGCCAGCAGTCCTGGATTGTGAGAGGGATGTCCAACTGCTCAATCCAGGACATCCCTCGAGGGGTCCCAGATTGGAGAGGGTGCAGGCTGGGCTGAGGGACACACATCCCTGTGCAGGAGTTTCATGCACAGGGCCTCTAGTATTCACATAAAAGCTTTACATAATGGGAACTATCCAATACCTTTTGTTTGCATTCATAACAATTTGATGAAAACAGGATATTTATTAATATTGACCAAACCAAAAATAATAGCAATGATACTTTTAAAACTCTTACCTCTGTAAGTCGAACTATCATGGCTTTTATTTTCACTGAGAATCCGACACAAATGCAAACTAAAACAAAACAAAAATAGTCTGCGTTAATTTCAAATCTTAACAAAAATTATCCTTACAGAGCAAATTATATAAACTAAAAATATTTGGAAATGTATCAGAAGTCAAAATCCATTAGTTTAGAATGAGAATAAAACAAACCTAAAAACCATAATTGGTCAAAACTGGAAGATGCTAGTCAATCAATTCATTATTTTCAAAACTGGTAAAATTAACTAAAAAAAAATCCATCACTTATTCTGCCTTCATATATGAACCAACAGTTGATAAAAAATGTCTCTGTACTTAAGTATTTCAGCTAATAAATAATGATGGAATGATAGAATTACATTACCATTTAAGACTCCTAATAAATTAAAAGACCTAGGCATGTATGAACGGCTGTTCACATTACAAAGAGACAAGCAGACATTATGTGCTCCCTGATCCTTATAATGGAATATTACCACCCAACTATGATGTTGACTTAAAAATAAATAAATAAAAAGGCATGACCTAAATTCATACTGTGGAAAAATCTACATGACAATGACCCAGTCTCTTCAACAAATATACTGCTAGAAAAAATAAAGGATGGTGGGGGATCCTCAGAGTAAAAAAGGCTTTAGAGATATATCAATCACAATGTATGGATCCTTATTTGAATCCTATATGAAACAAGTATTTTAAAAATTAACATTTATGGACCCTAGCCAGTTAGACCAATTGGTTAGAACACCATCCTAATACGCCAAGGTTGTGGGTTCAATTCCCCACAGGAGACAGACAAGAATCAACCAATGAATGCATAAATAAGTGAGACAACAAATCAAGGTTTCTCTCTCTCTTCTGCCCTTACCCCCAACCCCCCCTCTCTCTCTAACAAATTTTAATAACCTAACGTTTCTGAATCAACTTGAATATATGAGTAAAACTCTATATTCAAGAGATAGATGCTGAAATATTTACAGATGAAATATTTATTTCAACAGAATGGGGAAATGGGTGCTATTATAGATGAAACAAGATTGGCCAGCAGTTGAAAAACTATTGAAACTGGTTGATGATGTATCATTGAGAGGTTATTAATTACTAGTACTCCTGTGCACGGATTCATGCACATTGAAAGGAAATTAATTAGAAGGTGGCTGGCAGGACTGAGCAAAAAGGGACAGACATGCTCTGGAGCCAACCTCCAGCGGTCCCTTCCCAGGCTGGCCACCCCTGGAGCACCATGGCTCGAAGGGCGTCTGTGGAGTGAGTGGGGTCCCTCTGGTAGGTGGGGTCCCTTGGCCAAAACTGGCTCTTTGACATCCATCCTCCAAGGGATCTCAGATTGTAAGAGGGCAGTTCTCAGGTGACACACCCCAGAATCAGGCTCCCTCCTCTGGTTCCAGGGTGTGTCACCCTAGAACTGCTGCTGCCAAGTCACCGCAGCTTGGCAGCTCCTACATTGAGCATCTGCCCCTTGGTGGTCAGTGCACATCATAGCTGACAGTTGGATGATCGCTTAGCCATTTATATATACTATATAGATTCTACTTTCTCATCTGTTTGAGATTGTTTCCAACAATAAAGTCTAAAAACAAAAAATGAGCCCTAGCCAGTTTGAGTCAGTGGATAGAGCGTCAGACTGCAGACTGAAGGGTCCCGGGTTCAATTCTGGTCAAGAGCACATGTCCAGGTTGCAGGATGGATCCCCAGTAAGGGTTGTGTAGGAGGCAGCCAATCAATGATTCCCTCTCATCATTGATGTTTCTATCTCTCTCTCCCTCTCTCTCTCTCTGAAATCAATAAAATATATTTTAAAAAGAATAAAACAAAAAATGAAAAAAATACTTGTATTTGAATACTTCTTCATTAGATTAACTTAAATACAGCAAAGAATAGGTACATAGGCTACAGTAAAAAGAGGTATGCTCAACTGGAATTCCAGAAAGGAGAGAAAGAACAATAAAAAGCAATATTTGAAGAAATAATAGCCAAGAATTCAGTTTTCCAAAACTGAAGTGAAATCCACATATGGGCACATTATAATAAAGCATCAAAAAAAAACTAAAGATAAAATCATTTAAGCAACTAAGACAAAAAAATATTATCTTCATGACTTCTCAACAAGAAGGGTGAATGCCAGAGAGAGCTGAAAGATACAGTCAAGGTGCTAAAACGAAGTATCTGCCAACCTAAAATTCTGTATTACAAAAAACAGAGTTCCAAGAAAAGGCAAAATAACAATTGAACTTCAAACAATAACTTATTTCACACATGGAAAAAAAAAAAAGGACATTCTTTAAGCAGGATAAGATAGAACCTTACAGTGACAGCAAGAAATGATGTGCACACTCTCTCCCTCTCTTCCCTCCCTTTCCCCCTCTCTCTCCATTTCTCTCTCCTTCTCTTCTCCCCCTCCCCACTCTTGACTCTGTCCCTTGCTCTCTCTCTCCCAAAAGCTCAGGCAACAAAAGCAAAAACAGACACGTGGAACATCAGAGTAAAAAATGTGGGCTTAGAAATTTAAAATGGCAGTGGAGTAAGTGGATGCTACACAGAAACACTCCTAGGACCAAATTGGAATTACAACTAAAATACAAAAAAAAATCCTTAATAATCAACTTAAGACTAGCTGAAGAGAACCCTGATAACCAAGGACAGAAAAAGGAGACTGCATAGAGACTAGCAGGATGGGTAGAGCCTTAAAAGTGCTAGCTAGGCCCCCACAGACAGCAGCTGAAGAGATACCTCAATTGTGGGAGGGAGGAGGGGGTTTGCCACTGAGAACTCTGGGGTCTAATTCCCAAGCTTGGCCCCCAGCAGAGAGCACTAGAACTGAGAACAATGTCTACATAACTGACTGTGGAAAGCAGTAGGATTGCTATCTGCCAGGGAGAGATAGCTGGAAAAGCAGGCACCCTCTTAAAGGGCCAATACACAAAATTTCATGTGCAGCCACTCATCTTTGGCTCCAGCAGTGGGAGGGCAGAGTGCACTGGAGCTGTGAGAGCAGAAACTGGGTTGGGGGCTCTGGGGTTAGAGCTCAGAAGGCAGATATCTTGTTTTCCTGTGCTGAGTCACTCCCTCATGCTACAGAGGACATCTTTCTCAGGCAGACCTTTGCTATCCAGGTAGTTTTTGCCTGGAGGAAAGACAGTTGCCCTACCCTATTGGAAAACACCTTGCCCCACCCTGTGGAATCTGAGGTCCATTAAGAGACTGAGTAAAATTAGCCTCCAGGCATAAGCAATTGCCCCCATGCTTTTAGAAAATGTCTCTCCCCACCTTTGGATGATTGCCTGAGGCTACTCTGGACTGAATGCAATCAGTCTGCAGGCAGAGGCAGGTTTCTATAGGCTTTGAATTTTTGCCTGATCTAATTAGTCAGAAAATGCATCTGACACTGTCCTGCACTAGAGACTGGGAGGAGCAGCAGATCAACCTAATACACAGTCTCAAACCCAAACCCAAATGGGACAAAAAAAAAAATTAAAGAACAAGAGAATTCTCTAGAAGACAAGACAAATGAAATGGAGATAAGAAATACATCAGACATAGAGGTCAGAATAATGATGGCAAAGATGCTCAACAGCATGAGAAAAGATATACTATGAAGAATGACATAGTACTAATAAAGACACAGAGTGGAAGGAATACACAGCAGATTAGGGGAAGTCAAGGATTGGATCAGTGAATTAGAAAATAGGATAGAAAAAAAATCACACAATCAGAGAAGCAAAAAGAAAAAATAATTAAAAAAACAGGACCACTTAAGGGAGCTGTGGGACAACATGAAACATAACAATAGACTTACAATATGTGTTCCAAAAGGAGAAGAAATTGAGCAAGGGATAGAGAACTTGTTTGAAGAAATAATGGCAGAAAACTTCCCTAACTTGTTGAAAAGCCACTCAGTACAGGAGGCACAGAGAGTCCCAAGAAGAACCTAAACAGCCCCATATCCCGACACATCATAATTAAAATGCCAAAAATGAAAAACAAAGAGAATCTTAAAAGCAGCAAGAGAAAAGCAATTTGTTACCTACAAAAAAGCTCCCACACGGCTGTCAATTGATTTCCCTGAGAAATTCTACAGGGCAGGAGGGAATGGCATGAAGTATTCAAGGTAAGGAAAAGCAAGGATCTGAAACCGAGATTACTATATCCAGCAAGGCTATCATTCAAAATCGATGGCGAAATAAAGAGCTTCCCAGACAAAAAAAAAAAAAAAAAAGGTTAAAGGAGTTTACCACCACCAAATCAGCACTGCAAGAAATGCTAAAGGGATTGCTGTAATGAACAGAAGAAACTGAGAAAGAGAAAACTAGGCATACAGAATTAAAATGGCAATAAATAAGTACCTATTGATAACCTTAAATGTAAAAGGATTAAATGCTCCTATCAAAAGACATAGGGTAGCTGAATGTATACAAAAACATGATCGAAATAAATGATCTCTACAAGAGACCTACCTCAGAACAAAAGACTCACACAGGATGAGAGTGAAGGAAAACAATTTTCCATGCAAACAGAAATGAAAAAAAAAAAAAGGCTAGGGTAGCAATCTGACAAAATTGACTTCAAAATGAAGGCCATCACAAGAGACAACAAAGGTCACTACATACCGTAATACTAAAGGGATCAATCCAACAAGAGGATATAACCCTGGGAAAGATATATGCACCCAATAAAGGAGCACCTAAATATATGAAAAAACATCAAGAGGACTTTAAGGGAGCGGTTGATAGCAATCTATATATTTAAAAGTGTAAGCGACCATTACGAAGAGTTGACTGCTCAACCAGTGGACCAGTCACTATTATGCACACTGACCACCAGGGGCAGATGGTCAGTACACTCCCACAGCGGGAACGCCACTCAGCCAGAAGACGGGCTCAAGCCTGGCAAGCACAGCTGCGGTTGCAGGAGCCTCCCCCACTCCCATAGCAACACTACTGAGCAACGGCAATGGCAGGCGCAGCAAGGCCAGGATAAGTAGGAGCACCACAGCACTTGGTCCTGGCTCAAGT